TGGAAACTCCTATATCTGGTTGGAGAGTAAATCTGTTCAAATCCTAGAAAAATTCTTATTTTGAAAAATTCCAATATTGAATATATATCAGCATGGAGGTATTGGCATGAAGAGATGTCAAGCATATAATATGTGAATAAAAGCTGATTACTAAAGATACATGCAGTGCAGTATACCATTTATGAAAATTTCCGTATGATGAAAATACACCATCTACTATGTTTATATGTACATATAAGTGTATCAATAACAAAAAATCATAAATTAAAAACTCTGTAATGTGGAATTTCTGAAAATGAAGAAAAGGAACGGTGTTGGTCCTCAACAACAAAGGAACTTTGTAAAAATTTGTGTAACTTTTTTTCCAAAATAAAGGAAGAAAGGAAATCTTCCTATTTTAATAAATCCATTTTAATTGCATGGTGAAGCAGTGCTATTTTCCTTCCCACTTGAACAGAGTAATTTAAAATCAGAAGCAAAAGCACATGTTCACTGCTAATAAGCCTCCCCAGGCAAACTAAGATCATGTCTTTCAATAACTTGAGCAACATTAGCTGATAAATAGAGCAGCTGTGGCCTATTCATGTGAGGGAAAGCAGCTGGCAGATGTGAGAAATTGGAAGAACTCTGAAAACCACCTACATGAGTTGAATGGACAAGATAATTCCTAAGCAAGAATTTGTAAATCAAGGTAGGGATAGCTGGAAAGTTGCCTCTTTGATTTTAGAAATGAAGGTCAATGTATTTGGAAAATAAGTCCATTTGTCAATCCCATAACTCTAAATCTATTTGTCAGAATAGAGCCTTTAATGAACAAGTTCTAAATTTACCAGTTTTTTGATCTGCATCTCCCTAACTGCTAAGGATATCAAACAATTTTTCATACTTTTTGCCTCTTGTATTTCTTCTTTTGAGAAATGTCTATTCAGGTCTTTTGACCATTTATTGAATGGGTTATTATTATTTTTGGTGTAAAGATTTTTGAATTCTATATATTCTGGATATTAATCTCCCATTGGAAGAGTAGCTGGCAAAGATTTTCTCCCATTCTGTGGGCTCTCTCTTCACACTCCCTATTGCTTCCTTTGCTGCACAGAAGCTTTTTACTTTGATGCCATTCCATGTATTGATTCTTGATTTTATTTCTTGAGTTTTAGCAATCTTATTAAGAAAGTTGATGCCTATGCCAATATGTTGGAGTGTTTCTCTGTGTCTTATTCCAATTATTTCACTGTTTCTTATCTAATTCCTAGGTCTTTAATCTATCTTGAGTTGATTTTTGGATTGTCTTCAGTTCCATCCATTTATTGGCAAATGTCATAAAATCATTCTTCTTAGTTTGAAATCTGTCAAGTGACTGAGAAGCTCCATAGCTTTCCTGCCTTATTCCAGGCCTTCTCTGTCACTGTTTTAAGTTTTACAATGTGTGGTGTGGTCCTCTAGCCACTTAGCATTTTTAAGAGCTCTTCCCTCTGCTTGCCGTGTGATAATTTTGCTAAACTTGGTCTTTGCTTGATGTTACTCCTCATGCATCAATGCCTTAGTATAGCCTAGGAAATACTCAAAAAGGATTTGCTGAATAAATGAAATACTGCATACATGACTGATTGAGTCATTTTAAAAGGACACTATGTACATAAAACTCCCTTGGTGATATCATCATTTGACTATGTAAATTTGAAGTTCCATAAAGTAGGTAATAATATTTGCTTTATTTTTAGCCATCCTTTCCTTCCAGAAATAAAACGGTCAATTTGTATCTACATGTTTTGGTTTGGAAATATTTTCCAAAGGCCCATGTGTTGAATGCTTGCTCCTCTTTAAGAGGTGGGGCCTCCTATAAGGAAGTCAGGTCATTTGGGTGCCCTCAGAGGAAATATTGGGACCCTGGCCCCTTCTGACTCTTTCTTTGCTTACCAGCATCATGAGGTGAGTAGCATTGCTCCACCACATATTCCCTATCATGATGTTCTGCTTCATCCAAGGCCCAAAACCAATGGAACCAACCAACCACAGGCTGAAACTCTAGAACTGTGAGAGAAAATAAGGCTTTTCTTTTATTAAGTTGATTTTTTCAGGTATTTTGCCTCAGTGATGATCAAATACCTGTTATTTTCTTAATATCTTTACTGTTTTGGCAGAGCTTTTTGTGATGAAGAATTTTGGATTGAAAAAGTTCACCTTTACACACCATGACTTGTATTTTCCTATAATTATCCTTCATGTTAGTATTCAGTTACATTCAATATTTGTATAATAGTTTAGATGTTCAGAACATGAAAAATAGGGCAATACTGAGCACTCGTGCCCAGTATATATTTGGCTGTCAGTGAATATTTGCAGAATTGTAAAACACAGAATTGTGTGGATGGATTCTACCTTTGGCATTGTCCTTAAAAATAACTTCCCCAGTACATAATATTGAATGCTACTCTTACTGCCTTTATGGCATCTTCAATTCATCTATTAATATGCAATATATTCTGACATGTTATTTAAAATTGTGAATTGACCTTCCTAAAGTATTTTCTACAAATGAAAAATATTTATTGAAAAACAAATTTTTTTCAATTTCTTTGTGTGTGTGTGTGTGTGTGTGTGTGTGTGTGTGTGACAGAGAGGGGGGATCAAACCCAGGGCTTCATGCATGCTAGGCAAGTGCTTTACCACTGAGCTATATTCTCTGCCTGAGTTTTTCCCTGCTTTATCCTGCATTTTTCATCATATAACTACGAGTGGCATCATTCTGGCACTTTATCATTACTTTAGTGTTAGTGTTTTTAAAAATATTTTTCTTCTGCTCTTTGGCATCCCTAATACACTGTTTTGAATACTGTAGCTTTAGAATAAATACTGCTTGATATGACAAACTTAGCCTTGCTTTTCTCAAAACACTATTTATTATTTCACATAAATTCTAGAACTATTTTATGAAATTTAAACAAAATTATCATGAGATTTTCCTAGAAGCTGCATTAAATTTATAGTTTTATTTTTTTGGAGGGTGGGAGAATAGATCTATTTACTCCATTGAATACTTCTGTATAGGAACATATTTCTCCAATGATACAAGGTTTTCCCTATGTAGTTCTATAATTTTAATGGCTTATTCCTGTAGGATTCACATAGTTCTTTTTATGTGTATCCCTAAATGTTTTCCTTATGCTATTTAACTGATATTATTGTTGTTGTATAAGAAAACTATTGTATTTTGTATAATCATTTTGCAACTGGTATACTTACCAAATTGCTACTATTTCTAAAACTTTTATTTTTTATATGGGGGTAATCAGTAAATAATTATTATTTTTCCTACTTTTATCAATATTTTTACTGTTTGTTCCTGTATCAGATGATTGTTTTAGGTAGCATTCCTGGAATGATTATTCAAACTAGTAACAGAAGGAGGAAGTCTTGGCTGGATTTTCTCAAGGAAGAAACTTCTATGCATTTACCAGACCGCAGTTTTCTTCTCCTTCTTGGAATACAACTAGATGGTATTTTCCACCCTTCTTTGCTCAAAGGATTAGAAGGGATATAGTAAAAATGATATATATATATATATATATCATTTCAAAGCCTGTTCCTTAAAATCTTCCCAAGTGATCTCCCTTACTCTTTCTTTCTTCCTAACTGGGGCTTAAGACCAAATGTTCCAATTCCTCACTGGATTTCAGACCAAAAAACCAACTGTCTGACTGCTGACTCTGCACTTAGTGGAGAGCTGCTGACCCAAACTACCGGGCTGAGAACTCTCATAGGGAAATGGTGTATGAACAAATTTTATTGGGTGAGTCACAAACTTGGAGGACTGCTTGTTATAGCAATCATCACATCCTGATTATCACACTTATTTTAGTGGTGATGACACTATGTCAAACCCTGTAAACATAAACTTAGCAGTTTGTTTGAAACAGGATGTTCTAAACCATCCTTTAATTCTTACTGAATTAGTAAATTTCTAAAATCAATCTGAAGATGTATTTAAAAGAGGATGTGGGGGAAAAGGCACACTCATACATTGCTGGTAGAACTGCAAATTGGTGAAGCCAATAAGGAAAGCAGTATGGAGAATCTTTGGAAAACTGGTTATGGAACCACCATTTGACCTAGCTATCCCACTTCTCAGTCTATACCCAAAGAACTTAAAAACAGCATATTACAGGGACACAGCCACATCAATGTTTAGAGCAGCACAATAACTAAACTGTGGAACCAACCTAGATGTTCTTCAGTAGATGAATGGATAAAAAAAATGTGATATATATACACAATGGAATATTATTCAGCATTAAAAGAGAATAAAATCATGGTATTTGCAGGTAAATGAATGGAGTTGGAGAATATAATGCTAAGTGAAGTTAGTCAATCCTAAAAAATCAAATGCCAGATGTCTTCTCTGATTTAAGGATGCTGATTCATAATGTGGTGGGATGGGGCATGGGAGGATTAGATGAACTCCAAATGGGGAAAAGGGGAGGGAGGAGAAGGGAGGGGGCATGGGGATAGGAAATACGGTGGAATGAGAAGGACATCATTACCCTAAGTATATGAATGAAGACATGAATGATGTGACTCTACTTTGTGTTCAACCAGAGATATAAAAAATTCTGCTCTATATATGTAATATGAATTAATGCATTCTGCTGTCATATATAACAAATTAAAATTTAAAAAATGAAAAAAATCAATATTACCATATAATTTCTTTCAAGCATTTTATTTTATGATTAATTATATGCAAATATTGCCTAATGTTCAATCATTCTGGGATACTAGAATAAAAATTCCCTGACCATTCTGAACAATTATTTTAATGTATTGCTAAATTCAATTTGCCATATTTCATTTTGAAATTGAAGTCTCAAATTGTCATATACTTTGACCTATTGAGGATTTTTTTGCCAATTTTAAATAGTTTTATTTAAGACATTGCATTTTCCATTTGCAATACAGTGCTTATAAAGTACAATGTTATTTCCTTTACCTGTGTACCCATTCTATATGCAAGTATTGAGAATGCCCAGTAATTTGCTACAAATTTGGGCCCTTCCATATTTTACTGTGTAGAATAATGCAATATCTGTACTTGGACTGACATTATCAACCTCTTCAATAGTGGGCCCAGAGGAAGTACCACCACCAGAGAGGTGACCCTCCAAGCTTTTCTCCTGGCATGCCTCCTGCACTCTGGAACAGCTTGGTGATGGTGGGGTTGCAGACCTTCTCCAGCTCTTTCTGCTGATGTTTAATTCTTCCTTCTCTGCAGTCTGATTCTTATACAGCCAGTCAATGATTTCATTACATTTGTTAAAATCTTGTATTTGTCTTCATCAGTTATCTTGCCTTGAAGTTTCTCATCTTCAACAGTCACTTCCATGTTGAATGCATAAGACTCCAGAGAATTCTTGGATGACATATTGTCCCTCTACTTTTTGTCTTCAGCTTTGTACTTTTAAGCTTCCTAAGCCAGGTTCTCAATGTCCTCCTTGCCTGAACAATCTCTGTCATTAGTGATGGTAATCTTGTTCTTTTTTCCTGTACTCTTATCTATGGCAGAGATATCGAGGATGCCATTGTCATCAATATCAAAAGTGACTTGAATCTGAGGAAGACCAAGGGGTGCAGGAGATGTGCCTGTGAGTTCAAACTTGCCAAGCAGGTTGTTATCCTTGGTTATGGCATGCTTACCTTTATATATCTGAATGAGCACACCAGGCTGGTTATCAGGGTAGTTGGTGAAGCTCTGTGCCTCCTCAGTAGGAATGGTGGTATTGCACTTAATAAGGACAATCACGACTCCACCAGAAGTTTCAATACCAAGGGAAAGAGGAGTGACATCCAAGAGCAGCAAATCTTGAACATTTTTAGGCTTATGTTCAGATAAAATGGCTGTCTGGACAGCTGCACCATAAGCGACAGCATCATCAGGGTTGATGCTCTTATTCTGTTCTTTTCCATTGACGTTCTACAAAAGCTTCTGAATCTGGGGCATATGAGTAGGACCACCCACCAGTACAATATCATGGATATGTAACTTGTCTAACTTGGCATTTCAAAGAGATGTTTCTACAGGATCAAGGGTGCCACGGAACAGGATTCAACTCTTCAAATCAAGCACAGGTAATGGAGGTATAGAAGTTGATTCCTTCATAAAGAGAATCAATCTCAGTACTAGCCTGTTTGCTGGAAGAGTGGGTATGCTTAGCTCTTTCACATGCAGTATGGAGATGTTGGACAGCTCTTTTGTTTTCATGGATGGGATGTCCTTCTTATGCTTTTGCTTGAACTCAGAGATAAACATTGACCACACGGTTATCAAAATCTTCTCCACCTAAGTGGGTGTCTCCAGCTGTGGATTTGACCTCAATAGTGAAGATTGACACATCAAAAATGCCACCTCCTAAATAAAAATTAGCACATTTCTTTCAGCTCCAACCTTTTTGTCTAAATCATAAGCAATAACAGTGGCAGTTGGCTAATTGTCCTAAGTACATTGAGACCAGCAATAGTTCCAGCATCTTTGGTTGACTGATGCTGAGAGTCACTGAAGTAAGCTGGCACTGTGACCACAGCAATGGTAACAGTAGGCCAGTGGTAAAGGTAGTCCTCTTCAATTTCCCTCATCTTTGTCCCAACCATAAAAGATACCTCCTCTAGATAGAAACTTTTTGTCTCACCCTTGTATTCTACTTGGACTTCGGGCCTGCCTGCATCATCCACCACCAGTGCTTCATATTAGACTGGACAACAGCATCATCAAATCTCTGTCTTATCAGACATTTGGCATCAAAAACTGTGTTGGTGGGGCACATTGCAACCTGATTCTTTGCAGCATCACTGATCAATCATTCTTTGTCAGTGAAGGTGACATAGCTTGGGATAGCTGGGTTCCCCGATTGTTGGTCATTATCTCCACTTTTCCATGCTGGAAGACACCCACGCAAACATAGGTGGTGCCAAGATCAATGCCGACTGCAGGTCCCTTAGACATGGTTCCATATCCATAGGCTAGAATATAATTTCAAAAAAAACACACAGATCTCAAAAGCTGCCCCCATACTCAATGATCTGACCTATTGTTTTTAAAATTTCACTTTTCCTTGGTGTTCTTCCTTTACTATATATTTAAAGGTATTTCTATAATATTTTCTTAGAGTTATATTTGCTTTGTATAATCCATTTTTTCCCAAGGACACTTTATGATTTAAATATTCTACTTCTTTTGTCAGTTTTGGACATTCACGATTCCTCTGAAAATTATCTATTTTGTGATTAGTATATTTATTCATAAATTCTATTGCTTTCTTGCTTTCTCTTTAAATTCAGAATTTTTGACCAGAAATCAAAACCATTTCATTGCTGGTTCTTAGTGATATAAACAAAATTATTAAAAACAGAGACTTATTTTCCCCAAAGGAGATAATTATAAATCATATTTATTTGGACATTTTTCCTAACAATCTGACTTCTACTGTCTTTTTCTTGTTTCTCAATAATGAAAAGAACTTGAAAAATTTCCTAATGATTGTTTAAGCATAAAACAACTAGATTACATGTCCCACAAATATTAGAGAATTGGTGTCAACATAGCAATAGCAAATCTTAAAGCCCAGTGCTTGTCAGCTGAGGAGATGCTCAATTCTTTTTTAAAGAAACCAATGAATGGGGGACAGAATTATTATTGCTTATACTCTCTTCAATGTGTTTCCATTGGCTGTTTGAAAATTGAAGAAGAAAGTGGTTCCAGTTTGATAAATTTTAAATTATATTAAAAAATAACCAAACATGGTTCTTTGTAGAATATATAGATTCTATGATAGTTCAGCTGAGCTCTTTAATTCTGTACCAAACTTAGGATTTGCTAAGCAATCTATTTTCTTAAAAATATTTCCAATTATTAAACATTGTCTATGGATGTTCATTTATAATATAATATTAAGTATAGCTTTTTAAATATCTTCACCCTAATAAAATATATGTTAGTATAAAAAGTTGGAAATACTCAAATGGCCTAAGGTGGAAAAAACCCCTAAATCTTGAAGCTAGTTATCCCTTTATATAGTTTGGAAAAACAAAACCTTATCTAAACATAGCTTGGAAAATCAAATGATTAGAAATACCAATGTGAAGAATGAAGCATAAGTCCTCAAAGCTTTTAGTAATACAAGCTTTTCATTCACAATACTTCATCATTTAGCACCTGGGTGGTAAGCAGATGGTAACAATTTTATGTAAGAAAGTGTAATATTTGTAGCACAAAGAAACTTGTTGTCTCAAATTTTCTTGGCAAAGGCATACCTTTGCAATACATCAAAAGTATTTAATGATTCTGATTAGAATCCCAGTGGTGAAAAGATAGTATTTGACTTACCATATGGCTCTGTTCCAATTGTTCTCATTATTATCCCTCAGCCTAGAAGTGGCAAGGTGTGCTTTTTATTGACAGAAGAGAGTGAACCAATACTGATTTTTCTTCCATAAGTTGAAGCAAAGGCCAGACAGGCTCCCTCGCTGTCATTAAGGACGTGAAACTATTCTCCAATAGGACAAGATCAAAGTTTTCTTGATCCCTTTTTCTAGAAAGAGAGAGAGAGAGAGAGAGAGAGAGAGAGAGAGAGAGAGACTATGTCACACATATATGCAAGCTAATGTCCAATTTTAGTAGCAAGATAGCACTTGTGTCCCTATCTTTCTGAAAAAAGTAAAATAGAATAAAATAAAAATTCAACACATTTTTTTTTACAATCAATTTCCTACATCTACATTCTCTGTCAAAAATGAAAAGCATTACTTCAGTGGCCACATGCAAGTTCTTGAATCTAATTCTGTTTTTCAAAAACAGCATCTTCTGTTTTCTCTAAGTGTTCCTGTCACATGACAAATCTTCTAGATGTGGTGAATAATTTAGGAAAGGACAACAAATAGGCTTTGGAAATATTGTGCTTTGAAAAGCAATTATGAGACAACTCTTGAACGCTTGGGTGTTTATGGGGCGGCCAAAAGATACTGCAAATTGTATTTATACTAATCATGAGTAAAAAGGAAATTGTCTTGATTCTTTGACAGTATTTATTGATTGATAAGTGCCTCTACAAAGCAGGATTCATTGATTCAATTGAATGTTAAAATAACATTTATGTGACAGTTTTCTTGAGGTTAAAGATATATAGAACATTCTAAAAATCATTTACTCTGTACTTCAAAAAATTTTTCTTTCATTTCTCCCCTTCTAAAGAATCAGAATAAATCCTGCAAAGCTTCTGTTCAGATGAAGTTACATTTGACAACTGTCTCCTCAGAGTTAACTGGCTAAAATAATCTAGGATCTATACCAACAGCTAAAAATTTATCTTGTTCTATGAAAACTTTTTAACACTTAATTCCACACAGTAGTAACAAAACTGTACGTGTTTGGACAATCATAATTTTAATATCTACCTCCTTTTCAAAGATTTTGATGATACCTCAAGAGCAGTTCTCATTGAGGGCATTTTCTTTTCTGTCAATAGATAGCTTTGAGACTCAAAACGAGCCATGGCTCCTCTCTTTTTGTTGTTTTCCTCATGTTTCAATTCAAAAATATAAATAGTCCCACGAATTTGCATTATTATAGTAAATAAACAATTATGAAATTGTTTTAGATTTCCAGAAAAACTGCAGAAATAGTACAGAATTCTCACACATCCTGCACTCAGTGTCCCCTAATATTGTCACCCTACTTAACCACAATATATTCATCAAAATTAAGAAATTATCATTGTCACATATTATTTTTTATTGGTTGTTCAAAACATTACAAAGCTCTTGACATATCATATTTCATACATTAGATTCAAGTGGGTTATGAACTCCCATTTTTACCCCAAATACAGATTGCAGAATCACATCGGTTACACATCCACATTTTTACATAATGCCCTATTAGTAACTGTTGTATTCTGCTGCCTTTCCTATCCTCTACTATCCCCCCTCCCCTCCCCTCCCATGTTCTCTCTCTACCCCATCTACTGTAATTCATTTCTCTCCTTGTTTTTTTTCCTATTCCCCTCACAGCCTCTTATATGTAATTTTGTATAACAATGAGGGTCTCCTTCCATTTCCATGCAATTTCCCTTTTCTCTCCCTTTCCCTCCCACCTCATGTCTCTGTTAAATGTTAATCTTTTCCTCCTGCTCTTCCTCCCTGCTGTTCTTAGTTGCTCTCATTATATCAAAGAAGACATTTGGAATTTGTTTTTTAGGGATTGGCTAGCTTCACTTAGCATAATCTGCTCTAGTGCCATCCATTTCCCTGCAAATTCCATGATTTTATCATTTTTTAGTGCTGCGTAATACTCCATGGTGTATAAATGCCACATTTTTTATCCATTAATCTATTGAAGGGCATCTGGGTTGTTTCCACAGTCTAGCTATTGTGAATTGTGCTGCTATGAACATCGATGTGGCAGTATCCCTGTAGTACTCTCTTTTAAAGTCTTCAGGGAATAGTCCGAGAAGGGCAATAGCTGGGTCAAATGGTGGTTCCATTCCCAGCTTTCCCAGGAATCTCCATACTGCTTTCCAAATTGGCCACACCAATTTGCAGTCCCACCAGCAATGTACAAGAGTACCCTTTTCCCCACATCCTCACCAGCACTTGTTGTTGTTTGACTTCAGAATGGCTGCCAATCTTACTGGAGTGAGATGGTATCTTAGGGTGGTTTTGATTTGCATTTCTCTGACTGCTAGAGATGGTGAGCATTTTTTCATGTACTTGTTGATTGATTGTATGTCCTCCTCTGAGAAGTGTCTGTTCAGGTCCTTGGCCCATTTGTTGATTGGGTTATTTGTTATCTTATTGTCTAATTTTTTGAGTTCTTTGTATACTCTGGATATTAGGGCTCTATCTGAAGTGTGAGGAGTAAAAAATCTGTTCCCATGATGTAGGCTCCCTATTTACCTCTCTTATTGTTTCTCTTGCTGAGAAAAAACTTTTTAGTTTAAGTAAGTCCCATTTGTTGATTCTTGTTATTAGCTCTTGTGCTATGGGTGTCCTATTAAGGAATTTTGAGCCCTACCCCACAATATGTAGATCAGAGCCAACTTTTTCTTCTATCAGATGCAGAGTCTCTGATTTGATATCAAGCTCCTTGATCCATTTTGAGTTAACTTTTGTGCATGGCGAGAGGAGGGGATTCAGTTTCATTTTGTTGCATATGGATTTCCAGTTTTCCCAGCACCATTTGTTGAAGATGCTATCCTTCCTCCATTGCATGCTTTTAGCCCCTTTATCAAATATAAGATAGTTGTAACTTTGTGGATTAGTCTCTGTGTCCTATTCTGTACCATTGGTCCACCCACCTGTTTTGGTACCAGTACCATGTTGTTTTTGTTACTAATGCTCTGTAGTATAGTTTGAAGTCTGGTATCACTATACCGCCTGTTTCACTCTTCCTACTTAGAATTGCTTTTGCTATTCTGGGTCTTTTATTTTTCCAGATGAATTCCATGATTGCTTTATCTATTTCTACAAGAAATGCCGTTGGGATTTTGATTGGCATTGCATTAAACCTATAGAGAACTTTTGGTAATATCGCCATTTTGATGATGTAAGTTCTGCCTATCGATTAACAGGGTATATTTTTCCATCTTCTAAGATCTTCTTCTATTTCTCTCTTTAGGGTTCTGTAGTTTCCATTGTACAAATCTTTCACCTCTTTTGTTAGGTTGATTCCCAAGTATTTTATTTTTTTGAGGATATTGTGAATGGAGTGTTTTTCCTCATTTCGGTTTCAGAAGTTTTGTCACTGATATACTGAAATGCCTTTGATTTATGCGTGTTGATTTTATATCCTGCCACTTTGCTGAATTCATTTATTAGTTCTAGTAGTTTTTTTGTAGACCCTTTTGGGTCTTCTAGGTATAGAATCATGTCTTCCGCAAATAGTGATAATTTAAGTTCTTCTTTTCCTATTTTTATGCCTTTAATTTCTTTCGTCTGTCTAATTGCTCT